AAACTGAAAAAAAATAAAGAAAATCATTCAGAGTGAAAAGGATCAGGCAAGTCACTGTACAACTGGGCTATCTGCATGTCACAGATGTGGATTTTACTGAAACATTTCCTCAAAGGACCTGAAGAGCTCACTGCTTATCTGGTGAATCATCTGAACCTGAAATGGGGTTTGTTGTTAGGCTTTGTGGACAAAGTGAAACCAACGGCATCTGCACAAAACAAACAAAAGCCTCCTTTCTCTGTTTCCTAGGCAGCGGGAACTATTCTACATCCTCCTGGCATATTCGGAGTATAACCCGGTGAGTATTCCCGGCAGTGACGTTCCCGGGCAGTATTTCCCTGTTCACAGGAGTGGGTGTCTGGTGGGGGTGCTGTCGCTTCTTTTAAAGTTAGTATTTGTGACCCACCAGGATATAGGAGGTAGGACTCCAGCTCACTGCTGGCATAAACCTGCAAGCAAGGGGGTGGTCTCAAGGGGTCTAGCTGAGACACAAAGGAGTCGGGGCCTGGACTCCTGGTGTCACCTGGGTCTGACCACCACTTCTCAGCACAAGAAATGATGCCCTCCTCCTGGGGCTGCCCCAAAGCCCAGGAGCTTGGCAGAGTCACACGCAGGACGGTGCCATCAGGAGGCATTTTGGACAAAGTGCTGAAGTGCCTGATGGACTTGGCTCTTGTCATGAAATGAATTTGCATCCTGAGGAAGCCTCTTCTTCAGAGGAAGCCTCCCCAGTCACCTCTGCCCTCTCCAATGACATGAGTCCTCCCAGGTGACCTCAGTCCTCCCAGGTGATGTCCTTTCACGGTGACTCTGGCTCTTGCAGGAGGTGGGCTACTGCAGGGACCTGAGCCACATCGCGGCCTTGTTCCTCCTTTATCTGCCTGAGGAGGATGCATTCTGGGCACTGGTGCAGCTGCTGGCCAGGGAGAGGCACTCCCTGCAGGGTAGGTGGACAGCTGCCCCCAAGACTTCATGCAGTGAGTCCCGGGGGCAGCCACCCTGGCCACATGATGTCAGCTTTCAGCCAAGGCACCTTCCTGGTGTTGCCAGCTTGTTGGGAGCCTTTAGGATGTCTCTGCTGAGGGTCCCACGGGAGTTCGCGGCTGACCCCCAAAGCCCAAGTCAGACGCCTTTCATCCCCATCAGCGGAGGGCATCTCATCCTCCCCGTGGCCACCCTCTGTGTCCTGCTGCCACGCCCTCCGGCTCTCTGTGCAGCTGACTCTCTCCTCTCTGAGAGTCCTCCTGCCCTCCAGCTACCCGGGCTCCAGTTGCCCTTGGTGCCCACAAATGGGCCGACCAAGCCCAGGTGGCAGCATCTCCCCATCCTGTGTCCCCTGGCCCGACCTCACTTCCAGGAGATGACCAGGAAGCCCAGCACCCACCCTGTTCTGGCCACCTTTTTGTGGCCTCAAAGTCAGGCTTGCCCTTTTTGCACCCTGGTCCAGGAGGCGTCCAGGGGAACCTCCAGCCAGGCTCCAGGGGATGTTCCTGCCCCACCTCCCCAGGGCAAAGGCTGCATGGTGAGGTCATCAGATGGGAGGGTGGGAGGCCTTGCGGTTTTGGGGCCTCTGCAGCTGCCCAGCTCTTCCAGCTGATGGCTCCACATCTTGGGGGAAGGCTCTGATTTCATGACGGGCTGGGGGCTTCTCAGGATTCCACAGTTCAAATGGCGGAACAGTCCAGGGACTCCAAGACCATCAGGAGCATGTGGTCCCCACGTCACAACCCAAGACCATGTGGCATCTGGTGAGTTTATGGTCCCCTCGGTTCTTCCCCAGAGGCCCTCCCTCTCGTGGGGCTGAAGGAACGGGGCCTGGAGCCCCTCGTGGGGCTGGTGACTGGCTGAGTCCAACCAGGGCCTGACCTGGGACGTCGGGTTCTCCATGGGCTGGGAGTTGGATTCCTTTCCTGCCCTGGAGGAGACAGAGGCACAGGGATGGGGGCCCAGCTCCCGCAGAGCAGGGCAAAGGGCAGTGTGTCCACCGGGAGTGTGGGAAGGGGCCGGTGTTGTGGGGAGCCCTGGACACCGCCCAGTGTTCTGCACTAGGGGAAGGGTCTTCAGAGGCCCTGGAAGAGGGAGGTTTTTAGGGCAGCCCAGGGGGCCCTGAGCACCTCTGTTCCTCCCATCAGGACAAGGAAGGTCTTTGCGCGCAGGATTCCTCCTTAGGCTGGCTTCTCCAGATATTGAATGACGGGGTAAGAAGGCACAGGGAGACCCTGGCTCAGGGACCCTCCTTGCCCTGCAGTGCCCTGCTTCCCCAGTCTGGGGGTCTGGCTCACCCACAGCCCACAGGAGGCTCTGCCCACAAGGGGGTCCCCACAGGACACGCAAACAAAACCCTCTGCCCAAGAGGGGTCATCCCAGGGCAAAGGCTGGGGCTCAGGCCCAGTCTCATGGGCAGACAGGGCCAGGACCCGACTTGAGAGAGCTGAGGGAAGCCTCATGCCCTGGGCAAGCCCCTCTCTCCAGGAGCCACATCCCCCCTCAAATGAATGTCCCCCATGAGGAGCTGCAAGACCTTGTCTGACCCAGCGCCCTGGAGGGCTCAGGTGACCCTCATGGGGAAGGTCACTGACTCTGGGGACTGAAGCCCCAATGGACCCAGCTCGAGCCACCAGCCCCAGCCTGGAAGGGCCAGGTTCTCCCACACCTGCTATCCCCACAGATCTCTCTTGGGCTCATCCTGCGCCTGTGGGATGTGTATTTGCTGGAAGGAGAACAAGTGTTGATGCCGATGACAAGCATTGCCTTTAAAGTTCAGCGGAGTAAGTCTACATGTGCCCAGTGGGGCCTGGGAAGCCCTGGGGTCAGACCCAGACTGCCCGGAGGCCAGCTTCCTCACACTGTCCTCATGATCCTCTGTTCTGGTCCGGAGGGAGGTCTGGCCAGGTGGGCTGGGCAGGGGACTGAGACACCGAGCCCATCCCCCATATGACCCAGATGGAAGTCAGGAGTGTCGTGAGCACTTCCTTACCCAAGTTGCCCTCCAGCCACAGTCTCTTGTGCACATCTGGGCCCCTGAGGTGGCCAAAAAGGATCCTGCACAGCCCAGTGGGAGACTGAAGTGGTCACAGGGTATCAGCTGTGCCCCCTCCCAGGGAACCCTCCTGGCCTGATGTCCACCCTGTCCCTAGAGCGCCTCATGAAGACATCCAGGTCTGGCCTGTGGGCACGGTTTCGGAACCTGTTCTTTCACACCTGGGAGTTGGATGATGACTCTGTGCTCAAGCATCTTAGGGCCTCTACGAAGAAACTAACGAGGAAGCAAGGAGACCTGCCACCCCCAGGTGGGCTCCAGTGCCATGTCCCCTCCCATATCACCCTCTGGGGCAGTCAATAGTGGGGGAGTGCCCGAGACCCGAAACCCTAGTACCTGGGCCTTCCTCTTCAGCTTTTTTTCCTCCTGGACTCTAAGAAAATACAGGAGGCCCACCGGTCCTCAGGGCAGGCGCTCAGTGCGTGTGTACTGGATGTGTTGTGCATGCAGGAGGAGGATGTGGGCATGACCCTCCAACAAGCCCCCTCCCACTTTCCGCAGTGTCTCTGTCTCCCCCTCACAGGGCCCTCTAGGGCACTAGAGGAGCCAGACCCATTTGTGGGAAACCCCGCCCCTCCCTGCAAGCACCCACAGCCTCAGAGAGCAACAGAGGCCCCTCATTGCTGCACGCTCCTCCAAGGTTGCCAGGACAACCAGCCTTGAGCCAGGGAGACAAGGGAATCGGGTGTTCCTGACCCCCAGAGCATTCAGGGAGAGGGCACAGGCAGGACCCCGGGCCCAGATCCAAGATTTCAGCCAGATGTGGGAACGGTCAGTCCTGGCATGGATTGGACAGCCCAGGAGGGCAGAGGATGACCCATGTCAAGGCCCAATCACCCACTGCGTAGATGGATCCCCATGAGAGGTGGCAAGGGGCTGGGTGACATCCAAGTCCCCTCCCACCTGAGTTCTCACTAGGGGTTGTATCCCTGGCGCAACAGCCCTGGGACGAGCGTGTGTGGTAGGAAGCCCCCAGCCAGTCCGAACCCTGGGGGCAGTGCCAGGAGCCACCTGTCTTGCCCTAACAGCTTCCCCACGCCAGGTGGCACACACCCCTCCCTCTGGGATCAGCAGACTACAGGCGTGTCCTCAGTGTCAGGCCCCGGGGGCCACACAGAGACCCCGAGGACTCCAGAGACCCAGGCAGGTGGGGCCCAGCCAGGAAAGGCCTGCATGGGCTCATTAGAGACGCTGACCACGTCTGTTTTCCTTTCAGCCAAACCCGAGCAAGTGTCCTCAACACCCAGGCCTGTGCCGGCTTCACATGGCAGGATGACCCTCTGCAATGGGGACAGGCAGACCCCTCCAGGCCCACCAGCCCGGTTCCAGCGGCCCATTTGGCTAGTTTCCCCACCATGGGCACCTCGTTCTTCCACATCCTGTCCTGGTGGGGCTGTCCGGGAAGACACCTACCCTGTGGGCACTCAGGGTGTGCCCAGCCCGGCCCCGGCTCAGGGAAGACCTCAGGGTTCCTGGAGATTCCTGGAGTGGAACTCGATGCCCCGGCTCCCGACGGACCTGGATGTAGGGGGCCCTTGGTTCCCCCATTATGATTTCGAACAGAGCTGCTTAGTCCGTGTTCCTTCTGAATGTGTCCTGGACAGCCCTGGGACTATGGGACAGGGCTAGCCTGGGAAGCCCATGGGGACCCTGACACCAAGCCCTGCCAAGGCCATCAGGACTGAGGGAGATCCGGAGACATCCCACTGCAACAGGGCACCCCATCTGCGGACAAGAGACTTGCACCCAATTTCTACAATGGCACCATATCCCAGGAAGAGCAGCTGGCCACCTGCTGGCAGGCGGAACACCCTGCGGAGGGGGTGAGATTGGCTTTCACTGCACTGAGCCACAATGTGGACATGGACTTCCAGCCCTGCCCTGCACCCAGCACTGATTCCAACCAGGACAGCTCCTTAACAGCTATGCACGAGCAGCATTGCGCTCCCACTTCAGGGCCTTGCCTGTGCCACCTCTACTTTGAAAGTTCTCAGTTCCCTCCAGGCTTCTAGAAGCATCTGGGCCAGGGCTCATGGCTGGATAATTTCCCGAGGCTTAACAACCCAAGCAAGCTTTGCCTCTTCGCTTTATTTTTTGTTAAACTTATGAAAATTGATTAAGAAAGTGTGCAGCTCGAAAGACCTTCACAGATGGAACACCAGCCCCCAGATCACAAAGCCAACCATGCCCAGCCCCTCCCAGCACCCCCAGCTGTGTGACCAGCTTTCTGAATTCTGATGACACCATGTGCCTGCCTTTGTATTTTCAACTCATAGACAGTTAACCCCCTTCCTGTTTTAAAATAAATGTTTTCTGTTGAAATTATTTTAGAGATACAGAAATATTGAAAAGGCACTACAGTGGCCTCCTACACCTTCCATCCAGCTGCCCCTAAGTATGACGTTTTGCAGTACCATGGCACATAAGAAATTTAGGCCGGATGTGGTGACTGACACGCATAATCTCAGCAATTTGAGAGGTCAAGGCGGGAGGTTCAGGTTCACTTGAGTCTGGAAGTCTGAGACCAGCCTGGGAAACACAGGTGAACCCTGTCCCTAGAGAAAAGTCAAAGAAATTAGCCAGGCCTGGTGGCGTGTGTCTATGGTCCCACCTAGTGAGGACCTTGAGGCAGGAGGACTGCTAGAGCCCATGACTTGCAGGAAGCAGTAAGCCATGATTGCACCACTGAAGAATAGAAAGGTAAATATTTGAAGTGTTACTTTATGCCACTAGGGAAAGCAAGAAGACTTTTAATCTTATACCATCAGTATTAAGGTATATAGTTTTCTAAAAATTTATCTCCACAGTTCAATAAGAAGAAATTCCTGCACATTATATTTGATAGAGCAAATAAAGAAAAAAATAAAAACATGAAAGGAAATGTCAGTATTAGACTCATGCACTTTTCAAAGCATTACTAAAGAGCATCTCACATTTCTGTTTAAAACACTTGTACCATTGCATAATTAAGTACGAAGATGAGAGTTATTTGAGGTGTTTAAAAGTTGGTGGTGCCACATCTAACTGGTGTAAACTAGATAAAAATCACTATAAAAAAGTTCAAATTCCATGCAAATGTAAAGATTATACAATCTTATTAAATTGTTAGACATTTTTTCCCAACTACCAAATGGGTAACATCATGTCTATAATTAGCAATAAGAAAATTCTATTTGCACACTCTTCAAAGTCCATTTTTAAAATTTTATACACATCATCTCTCATTTAGAAAATGAACATTTCAATATGCTTATTACACCTAGGAAGAAAAATGTTCAATTTTATAATCTCAAAATTTTTGCTAGTCATTAAAATAAATCAAAGCATTCAGCATCAAAGGATATACAGATACACACTCTTAAGTAATTCATATACAAGGACCAGAGTATTAGAGGCCTAAGCTGCTCATTTCATAAGACAGGGGACCCTTGTAGTATTTATTTTAAAAAGAAATAGCCCCATTCAACAAGGGAAAGATCATAATTTAAAATTAGAAACTAAAAGAAAAATAAGCCTTAAAGCTTCAGTGTATGAATATCTACCATTAAAAAGAATGAGAAATAGACACTCGGGACATCAGACATACTGACCCTTCAAAGGAACATGGATACAAATATGTAACACCCAATCAAATGGTACCAACACCATGATCCTGTGTGACAGCAAATAGTGACCAAATCTAAAGAATTCCCAAAGTTGTATTGAAATATATTTTTCTAAGGTTTTTAAGCGAGTTACAAAACACCTTACTTCAATTTTACTGTGTCCCAGTAAATAAAAATGAAAATAAATAAATGGGTGATAGGAATTCAGCAGAAAATGAGAAACAAAGTGATCATCACAAAATGTATTATTGGGGCCAAAATCCAACTAACTAAAGGTGTTGAAAATATAAAGAGTTTCCTACAGATTAATTTTATTCACTAAATGTATAGCAACATTCACTATCAATACTAATATTCTTTTATATATTGATAATACCTGAAAATTTTCCAGAACAGAAGACCCAAAGCCGCTGACTGAAGAACCACTATAAATCAGAGTAAATAAACATATACACCAAGGGACGTTAATAAAACTATAGAAAACTAAGGGAAAGAAATGAACATTTTAAAAACAAAAGGCAAGTTATCAAATGAAAAACTAGATAACTAAATAAAGCCAGAAAACATTTTTTAAAAGATTTCCATTAAAGGGGACACCAAACAATTTTCCTTGGGTAATAGGAAAACGATTCCAGAAGGAAGCTCAGAACTGGAGAAAAACATGAAGAGCGATAAACATGGAGGCACACTGAATATATAATGAACGTATAAAACGTTAATGCCTTCCCACTCATTTACAATGCAAATGACCATTTACATTAAAGATTAAAACACTGGTTGGTTTGTGAATGTGTGTAGCTTTCTGATAAAACTATAACAAAGACTGGAAAAGCAACAGGTGAAAGAAGTCTCTATGGTTTCATTCTACATTTCGTGTTCAGTGGGACACACAGGCCGGGTGCGGCGGCTCACGCCTGTGATCCCAACACTTTGGATAGCCAAGGCGGGCAGATCTCTTGAGGTCAGGAGTTTCAGAGCAGCCTGGCCAATATAGCGAAACCATGTCTCCACTAAAAATACAAAAATTAGCTGAGTGCAGTGGTGTGTGCCTGTAGTCCCAGCCACGCAGGAGGCTGAGGCAGGAGGACTGCTTGAACCTGGGAGGTGGAGCTTGCAGTGAGCCAAGATACTGCCACTGCAGTCCAGCCTGGGCAACACAGCAAGACTCTGTCTCAAAAAGAAAAAAAACAAAAAAGGGATACACTCAGTAGACTCAATTTACTGGTAAGAAAATTATAATCCATACACCAACCACTATATAAATATAAATACTTATCTATATAGGAAGAGATATGGGCAAAAAGGCAATTTAAGGCAATTTAATGTAATTAATTAAATTTAAATGCAATACTAACCGTTGCATTGTTAAACTGATTAAAATACAGCACTAAAAACTAATCACAAAAAAACAGAAGAGAAGTAAGAGGGAAAATCAATGTTAAGAACAAACAGCAGAAGACTTCTACTTCTGTCCAAGACAGACTAAGATAGTGAAGAGAAAGGCACAAGGGAAACTGGAAAATGTCTTGAACGGAATGGCAACAAATATGAAATTTATCAAAATTTGAGATGTAGGCTGGGGCAGTGGTGGCTGACGCCTGTTAATGGCTTGAGCTCAGGAGCTTGAGACCAGCCTGGGCAACATGGTGAAACCCTGTCTCTACGACAAATACAAAAACATTAGCCAGATAAGGTGGCGTGCACCCGTAGTCCCAGCTACTTGAGGGGCTAAGACAGCAGGATCGCTTGAACCCAGGAGGTGGGGGCTTCAGTGAGCCAAGATCATACCACTGCCCTCCGGCCTAGGTAACAAATTGAGACCCTGTCTCAAAACAACAACAACAGTGGCAAAAACAAAAACAAAAAAACACAACTTGTGGGATTCAATAAAAGCAACAGAGAGGAACTTCCAGCATATATATTTTCATTAGAAAAGAATATCTAAAAGAAAAGACCTAAGTTTCCACCTTTATAAGTTAGAAAAGAAGAGGAAAATATAACACATAGTAAGTAGTAGGAAGGAAATAATAAAGAGCAGAAGTTTAGCAAAATAGAAAACAGGGAGATGGCATAAAAAATTAACAAAGTCCAAAACTTTCTTTAAAAAGGTCAACAAAACTGAACAATTCTATTTGGACTGGTCAAAAAAATTAAAATTAAAATTAAAACAAAGAAAAATCCAGAACACAAATCACCAGCATGTGGCCGGGTGTGGTGGCTCACGCCTGTAATCCCAGCACTTTGGGAGGCCGAGGTGGGTGGATCACGTGAGGTCCAGAGTTCATGACCAGCTTGGCCAACATGGTGAAACCCCGTCTCTACTAAAAATACAAAAAATTAGCTACATGTGGTGGCGTGCACCTGTAATCTCAGCTACTCGGGAGGCTGAGGCAGGAGAATCACTTGAAACAGGGAGGCGGAGGTTGCAGTGAGCCAAGATTCTGCCACTGCACTCCAGCCTGGGTAACAAGAGCAAGGCTCCATCTGCAAAAAAAAAAAAAAAAAATTAAGTTAAAAAAAAAATTCACGAACATCAGGAATAACAATGGGGTAATAACCACCAATACTAGCAAAATTACCAAAATAATAATAAAATACTATTGGCGGCCGTGTGCAGTGGCTTGCACCTGTAATCCCAGCACTCTGGGAGGCCAAGGCGGGTGGTTCACCTGAGGACAGGAGTTCAAGACCAGACTGGCCAACATGGCAAGATCCTCTCTCTACTAAAAACAAAAAAAATGAGCTGGGCGTGGTGGTGCCTGCCTGTAATCCCAGCTACTCGGGAGGCTGAGGCAGAGAATCACTTGAGCCTGCAAGGTGGAGTCTGCAGTGAGCCGAGATCGTGCCACTGCACTCCAGCTTGGGTGACAGAGCAAGACTCCATCTCAAAAATAAATAAATAAACAAACAAATAAATACATACATACATACATACTATTGGCAATGTTAGTCCAACAGTTTCAGCAACTTGTACAAAGTAGTCTTGGAAAAATACAGCGCACGAAAATTGACTTAAGTATATAAAAATAGGCTGGGCCCAAGGGCTCACGCCTGTAATCCCAACACTTTGGGAGGATGAGGCAGGAGGATAGCTTGAGCCCAGATGTTCGAGACCAGCCTCGGCAACGAAGTGAGACTGCTTGTCTCTACAAAAAATAGAAAAAGAAAAAATATTAGCCAGGCATGGTGTGCCTGTGGTCCCACCTGTTCAGGAGGCTGAGGCAGGAGGATCATTTGAACCTGGGAGTTTGAAGCTGCAGTGAGCTATGACCTCATCACTGCACTCTCACCTACTGATCTTGGCTCACTGGGCAACAAAGTGATACACTGCTAAAAAGAAAAAAAAAAAAAAAGAAAGAAAGAGAGAGAGAGAGGAAGGGAGGGAGGACAGAAAAGAGAAAGGAGAGAAAAAGGAATGTCCCTATAATTTTGCCAAAAAACAAATTTATCAGAAATTTTCCCAGAAGAGTTTCTGTTTCTCACGAAGTTCTATATAGAATTCAAAGAAAAACGACACCAAATTTACACAAACTGTTTCATTTTAAGTGACAAGCATAATCCTCAACAAACACCTGACAAAACCACTATAATTCTTAAAGAAACAGAGAATGAAAGTACATGACAAAAATAAAATACATGTCAGGAGATGGACAAGTGAATTTACAGTATCCTAAGAGTTTCAGAGGATTCAGAAGAGAAAACAACTACATAGTAACATTAACTTTTTTGTAAGCTAATAGAGAGGGTAGAATGGAATGAGTGAAACAAACCAGAATAGGAAAGACAAATACAACACATGTAATAAGATGGAAGGTTTACACCAGGTGCAGTGGCTCATTCCTGTCATCCCAACACTCTCAAAGCTGAGGCAGGAAGATCACTTGAGCCCGGGACTACAAAGCTACAGTGAGCTAGGATCCTGCTACTTGCACTCCAGCCCAAACAACAGAATGAAAACCAGTCATTTAAAACAACAACAACAACAACAACAACCCAAGTTTGGAATAGTGAAGGCCTTTCTAACTAATAACTCAAAATACAGACATCATGAAAGATTAATAAGTTGAACAAAATGAAGTTAAAAACCCATGCATGGTAAAAAAACAAACAAACAAAAAAAAGGTTTTTTCAAAAGCACAATATAAATAAAGACTAACCAGATGGGCAAAAATTAGTCCAACTCATATGAAAACAGCATAATAATATATGAGGGGCTCCTATGAACGCTCCAATAAATCACACTAAAAAATCAACAACTGTGGCTGGGCACGGTGCTCACACCTGTAGTCCCACCACTTTGGGAGGCTGAGGTGGGTGGATCCCGTCTCTACTAAAAATAAAAAAATCAGCCGGGCATGGTGGCCTGCGCCTAGAATCCCAGCTATTCGGGTGAGTGAGACAGGGGAGTCCCTTGAACGGGGGAGGCAGAGGCTGCAGCGAGCCAAGATCAAGCCACTACACTCCAGCCTACGTGACAGAGGGAGACCCTGTCTCAAAAAAAAAAAAAAAAAAAAAAAAGAAATATCAACAACCAAGTCAAAAAGCAGACCACAGAAAAGAATAAATTGCTCTTCAAACTATAAAAAAAAGTCAACTTCACTAATACTAAAAGAAATGCAAAACTACTGCTTGGATATGCAAACTTTTACCTGTTGTTAGATTACCAAAGGTATGAAGAACAGCTTTTTTATTCGTATATTGGTAAAACTGGGAACATATGTTCGTAAAACTACAGGGAGAATAATTTGGGACTATCTATCAAAATTAATTGCAACACTCCTCTGACCCAATGTTTCCACCTATGGAAATTAATAAGCCTATAGATATCCTTGTATACAAGCAAATGACACATATACAAGAGTTAGTTATCAAAGCAGAAGATCAGAAAGTGCATCAACAACTGATCAATTAGATAACATGGTTAAGAAGGAAAAAAAAGCTCTGTACTGATAACAGGATAAATTGTTCATGTCGGGTGCGGTGGCTGACGCCTGTAATCTCAGTACTTTGGAAGCCCGAGGGACTAGGATCATTTGAGGTCAGGAGTTCAACACCAGCCTGGCTAACATCGTGAAACCCCATCTCTACTACAAATATAAAAATTGGCTGGGCGTGGTGGCGCATACCTGTAATCCAAGCAACTTGGGAGGCTGAGGCAGGAGAATCGCTTGAGCCCAGAAGGTGGAGGTTGCAGTGAGCTGAGACTGCACCACTGCATTCCAGCCTGGGTGAATGAGCAAAGCTTCAAATAAAAAAAGAAAATTCAACAAAAAAGAAAAGAAAAATCTCAACAAACAAACAAACAACAACAACAAAAAAACAAGGTAAATTGTTCAGTGAAATAAATTAAGATGCAGAAGAGTATATAATATTAACCCATTTGTATAAAGATGGAGGGAGTAAATATTTGTCTATTCATATTTGAATATGCAAAAGAAACCTAGAAAGACATGCAAGAAAGTAACAATTACACGGTAGCAGGAAAGCTATTGATAAACTGGGCAGATGAGGAAGAGGAGTAACAGGAAGGGTTTTGAATATATTTTCAAATTTTGTACAATCTGACTGTATAACATAGTCTGAAAATTAAACCATAAAATATATATAGCTAGCCAAAATCATTGTATTTTTCCCTTTTATCTACTCACACCATTACTCTAGTCTATGGCAAAACTACTTTAGAGGTGGCTACCCAAACTGGAGAAGAGTATAGTAATAATAGCTAAACTTCTACTTTTTTTAGCTACCTCATCACATATGCCAGGGTCTAATAAACTCACATGTACACATTTCAGAATAGTACTGAGTTGTAGAAAAATATCATTTCTCTGACAAAGGTAACTAAAAGTGGAGAAGAAAATGAGGAATACACAAGAGTCCATAGGAAAGCACACCAAAACGTGATACAGAAGTCAGCATTTCTTTCTTTCTTTTTTTCTTGAAACAGGGTGTCACTCTCACCTGTCCCAGGGACTGAAGTACAGTGGTATGACCATGGCTCACTGCAGTCTCGACCTCCCAGGCTCAAGTCATCCTCCTGGCTCAGCTTCCCAAGTAGCTGGAACTACAGGCGCATGCCACCATGTGTAACTAAGTCTTTTTATTTTTATTTTTTATATTTACTTTTGCAGAGACCAAGGTCTCCCTATGTTGCCCAGGCTGGTCTCAGACTCCTGTGCTCCAGTGAGCCTCCTACCTTGGCCTCTAAAAGAGCTGGGATTACAGGTGTCGGGCAGCACACCCCGCCTAAAAGTCAACATTTCTTTATATTCAAGCAACAAAGATCCTCAGAGTTAAGTAAAATTAATATTCACTAGAAACATCATCTGTCTAGAGATGTACAAAAGAGAAAAAAGGAACCTAAAACAACAGATTTTAGGTCTAACAACAACAAATTGTGGCTCATTTTTGAAAAAAAATTCCTAACACAAGAAACTATATCCATTTTTTAAAATAGACTTTTTTTTTTCTTTGTTTTTTTGAGACAGTCTTCTTCTGTCACACAGTCTAATGGGCAATGGTGCAATCTTGGCTCACCGCAACCTCCACTCCCCGACTTCAAGTGACTCTCCTGCCTCAGCCTCCCAAGTAGCTGGGACTACAGGCACCCACTACCACGCCTGGCTAATTTTTCTATTTTTAGTAGAAACCAGGTTTCACTATGTTGGCCAGGCTGGACTCGAACTCCTGACCTCAGGTGATCCGCCTCCCTCGGCCTTCCAAAGTGCTGGGATTACAGGTGTGAGCTACCTCGCCCAGCCAAAAAAATAAGAATTTTAATTAGAAGTATGTATTTAATAGATCATTCTGCATAAAATATCCAATGCTTGTTTGTCCACAAAGTAGAAAAATTGTGGGTCAATACAATAAGGATTCATAAATTACAGCCACTACTGTTAAATATGAGTGGAAAACGCTGGTTAATTTGATGAAATAAAATAAACTACCACGTATTTGAAGATACTCCACAGCCCCAGTTTTCAATAAAATTTTTTTCAAGAAATCTCTGCACTTACCCCCATTATCTGTTCTTTTTTAGGCTCCATCCTGATGGGGACACAGTTCATATCGCTATAAAAAAAAAAAGAAAAGAAAAGAAACAGGTAATGAAGAAAGATTTCAGATGATCAAAAACGTAGTATCTTCCCTACAACTTCAAAACTCCTGAAAATGGGAGAGCAGCATTTGTACTAGCTGCCCCCCAAGAGTATTTCAGAACTTTCTTCACAAACAATTGTTCCCGAGGACATGTGATCTTCTTCAGAGGACAAGCTGTTTTTTTAAAGTACATTTTAGGCAGGGTGCAGTGGCTCACGCCTGTAATCCCAGCACTTTGAGAGGCCGAGGCAGGCGGATCACGAGGTCAGGAAATCGAGACCATCCTGGCTAACATGGTGAAACCCCATCTCTACTAAAATAATACAAAAAACTAGCCCGGCATGGTGGTCGGTGACTGTAGTCCCAGCTACTCGGGAGGCTGAGGCGGGAGAACAGCGACAACCCGGGAGGTGGAGCTTGCAGTGAGTTGAGATTGGGCAACAGAGCCAGACTCCATCTCAAAAAAAAAAAAATAAAATAAACAAATAAATAAAGTACATTTTGACTTTTAAACTCCTGCTACGGGCCAGGCTTGGTGGCTCATGCCTGTAATCCCAGAACTTTGGGAGGCCGAGACAGGTGGATTACCTGAGGTCGGGAGTTTGAGACCAGCCTGACCAACATGGAGAAACCCCGTCTCTACTAAAAATAAAAAATTAGCCAGGAGTGGCGGTGCACGCCTGTAATCTCAGCTACTGGGGAGGCTGAGGCAGGAGAATTGCTTGAACCCGGGAGGCAGAGGTTGCGGTGAACCAAGATCGTGCCATTGCACTCCAGTCTGGGCAACAAGAGCGAAATTCCATCTAAAAGAAACAAAACAAAACAAAAAACTCCTGCCACAATTTTTTAAATCTTACATTAATGAAAACACAAGGATGCTGGGATTATTTACCTGGGGAGAGGGAGAAAAAACCAAAAAGGTCCTCTCAACACAGGAATGGAGCAAAGCTTTTAACATCTGCCTGTTACCTGTTTACTTCCTGTCCTGTTTTGATTTTGTTTTTTGAGACGGAGTCTCGCTCTGTCGCCCAGGCTGGAGCACAGTGGGGCGATCTCGGCTCACTGCAAGCTCCGCCTCCCGGGTTCACGCTATTCTCCTGCCTCAGCCTCCCGAGTAGCAGGTGCCCGCCACCACGCCCGGCTAAGTCTTTTGGATTTTTAGTAGAGACGGGGTTTCACCGTGTTAGCCAGGATGGTCTCGTTCTGCTGACCTTGTGATCCGCCCGCCTCAGCCTCCCAGAGTGCTGGGATTACAGGCGTGAGCCACCGCGCCTGGCCCTTTACTTCCTGTCTTATGGCCAGCTAGGATGACTGCAGTCAAGTAGGTCTGGTTTCTCTTAAAGAGCCAAATTCACCGAATTTAGAATTTTAATTTAAGTGGCAAGAAATGATCTCACGCATGCTGATTTCCCTTCTGAAAGGAATTAGGCTAATCAGCTATTATTGTACAAACACAATGGTACTCAAAATTTATTGTGGATCCCTCCCCTCCCATCCTCAGAATGGAAAAGCAAAAATAAATGTAGAGCCAGTACTACCCCTTCTTATGAAACACAGTAAGTTTCAATAGCATTGTCTTACTATGAAGAATACGTTCCTGAAAGTCGCACTTGAGTATTATTTATATCCCAGTTTGTTTCCAAAAGAGGTTCTGCAGCATACGACATAGTAATATAGGCCGGGCACAGCGGATCACACCTGTAATCCCAGCACTTTGGGAGGCCGAGGTAGGCAGATCGCTTGAGCCCAGGGGTTCGAGACCAGCCTGGGCAACATGGCAAAATCCCACCTCTACAAAAAAAAAAAAAAAAAAATTAGTTGCATGTGGTGGTGGCGCACCTGTAGTCCCAGCTGCTCAGCAGGCTGAGGCAGGCAGGTCAATTGAGCCCAGAAGGTGAAGGCTGCAGTGAGCCATGATTGCACCACTGCACTCCAGCCTGGGTGACAGAGTGGACCCTATCTCAAAAAAACAAACAAAAAATGTGTGTGTGTATATATATAAATACACACACACACACAGACACACACACATTATATATATACACACAGACACTATATATACACATATACTATATTTACACAACCTACATATAAATATATATACACTTATATACATATATAAACTACAACAAACAATTAGAGTAGAAAATTAAGTTGAAATAGTTTCAAAAGGACAGAAGGCATAAGCCATAAAAGCCTACTGAGGCCGGATGCAGTGCCTCACACATATAACCACAGCACTTTGGGAGGCTAAAACGGAAGGACCACTTAAGGTCAGGAGTTCAAGAACTGCCTAAGCAACAAAGTGAGACCTCATCTCTACAAAAAATAATTTTTTAAAACAGAGAGTCTATTGGCAAGCCGCGGTGGCTCATGCCTGTAATTCCAGTACTCTGGGAGGTCGAGGCGGGCGGATCACGAGGTCAAGAGATTGAGACCATCCTGGCCAACATGGTGAAACCCCGTCTCTACTAAAAATACAAAAAATTAGCTGGGCGTGGTGGCACGTGCCTGTAGTCCCAGCTTCTTGGGAGGCTGAGGCAGGAGAATCACTTGAAACTGGACGGCAGAGGTTGCAGTGAAGCCGAGATCGCACCACTGCGCTCCATCCTGGGCAACAAGAGCGAAACTCTATCTCAAAAAAAAAAAAAAGAAAAAAAAAGAAAAAGAAATTACAGAGCGTATTGATAAAGTTTGGATATTTGTGCCTCCAAATCTCGTGTAAAAATATACTCCCAATGTTGAAGATGGAGCCTAGCAAAAGGTGTTTGGGTAATGGGGGCAGATCCCACATGAATGTCTTGGTGTTTTCCTTGTGGTCATGAGTGAGTTTCTTGCTGGTGTTAGTTCATGTGAGATCTGATTGGTAAAAGGAGCCGGACATCTTGCTCCCTTCTCTCACCACGTGACACTCCTGGTCCCCATTCCCACTCCCCCATGAGTAAAAGTTTCCTCAGCCCAACGGTGTTGGTGTTATGCTTGTACAGCCGACAGAACTGTGAACCAAATAAATCTCTTTTCTTTATATTAATAATCTACCCAGTTTCAGGTATTCCTTTATAGCAACACAAAACAGACTAATACCGCTATATTTCTTGCCTTTCAGTATTTCACTCTCCTGATTTTCCTATTACCTCCTTGGCAGCACCTTTCTGATCACCCTATCAAACCTTTAAATGGTGACGTTCCTCAGGTCTCTGGCCTAAGATGTCATCTTATTTCACGTGAAGCACTAGGCAATCTTATTCCTTGTCCAAATTTCCATTACCAACTAAATTATAAAAATATAACAGAGAATCCCGAATTTTATCTATTTGTGTCTGTCCTCAGGTTCAGCTATAAAACTCTATATGCTACATAAACACTTTATTTTATTTTGAGACGGAGTCTCGCTCTGTTGCCCAGGCTGGAGTGCAGTGGCTCGATCTCGGCTCACTGCAACGTCCACCTCCAGGATTCAAGCAATTCTCCTGCCTCAGCCTCCCAAGGAGCTGGGATTACAGGTGTGTGCCACCACTTCCATCTAACGTTTTTTATTTTTAGTAGAGATGGGGTTTAGTCATGTTGCCCAGGTTGGTCTCAAACTCCTGGCCTCAAGTAATCCACTGACCTCAGCCTCCTAAAGTGCTAGGATTACAAGCGTGAGCCACTGCACTCAGCCTACATAGACACTTGAAACGCTCCACAATTTATGACAAAACCTGCTCTTCCTGCTCTTTCCATATATTGGTAATGATATTTTCAATGACACATGGCTCATGCAACACACCTAGTATACATAATCTTTGACCACTTCAAACCTTACTCCCTAACCTCACTTTTTTTTTTTTTTTTTTTTGAGATGGAGTCTCACTCTATCGCCCAGGCTAGAGTACAGTGGCATGATCTCGGCTCACTGCAAGCTCCACCTCCCAGGTTCATGCCATTCTCCTGCCTCAGCCTCCCGAGTAGCGGGGACTACAGGCACCCGCCACCATGCCCGGCCAATTTTTTGCATTTTTAGTAGATACGGGGTTTCACCGTGTTAGCCAGGATGGTCTCGATCTCCTGACCTTGTGATCCGCCTGCCTCGGCCTCCCAAAGTGCTGGGATTACATGCCAGAGCCACCGCGCCCAGCCCTAACCTCACTTTTAATCCATAACTATATTGTGCCCTTCCTCTTCCTCAATACTGGTGAGATCTGCCTATCTCTCTCCATCTCCACTATTACCCTACTTAAAGCCAGCATCGCCTTTCATCAGGACCACTTCAGTCACCTCTTAAATGCAGTAGTCGCCCAGTTATCCATGGGAGAAACATTCTTTTTTTTTTTTTTTTTTTTTTGAGACGGAGTCTCACGCTGTTGCCCAGGCTGGAGTGCAGTGGCGCGATCTCGGCTCACAGCAAGCTCCGCCTCCCGGGTTCCCGCCATTCTCCTGCCTCAGCCTCCTGAGTAGCTGGGACTACAGGCGCCCGCCACCGCGCCCGGCTAATTTTTTTTGTATTTTTAGTAGAGACGGGGTTTCACTGTGGTCTCGATCTCCTGACCTTGTGATCCGCCCGCCTCGGCCTCCCAAACTGCTGGGATTACAGGCTTGAGCCACCGCGCCCGGCCCATGGGAGAAACATTCTAAGAACCCCAGTGGATGTCTGAAATGACAAATGGTACTGAGCACTTGATTCTGTTTTTTGTTATACATACATACCTATAAAAAAAGTGTAATTTACAAATTAGGCATAGTAACAGATTAAAAACAATAATAAAATAGAACAGACTGGGTGTAGTGGCTCACGCCTATAATCCCAGGACTTTGGGAGGCTGAGGGGGGCAGATCACCTCAGGTCAGGAGTAAGAGACCAGTCTGGCCAACATGGTGAAACCGCATTTCTACTAAAAAGACAAAAAAATCAGCTGAGTGTGGTGGTGCACACCTGCAGTCCCACCTAAGCAGGAGGCTAAGGCACAAAATATCAATTGAACCCGGGAGGTTGCAATGAGCTAAGATCGTGCTACTGTACTCCAGTCTGGGTGACAGAGAGAGACTCCACCTCAAAAAAATTTTTAAAATAAAAAAAAAAATTGTAACAATTTACTATGAAAAAGTTACGTGAATGTGGTCTCTCTCAAAATACAGTCTGCATAAAAACCACCATATACGGCCGGG